GATAGATTAAGCGTGACATCTTGTTACTTAATGACTTACATTCAGGTCGAGATCGCTGAGTGGCAAGTAGATGGGGAAGTTTTGCAGATAGTTGCTACTATAAACTGCCCCAAAGAAAGACTTGCTAAATATGTGATTGGAGGGACTGGGGGAAAAATCACTCGGATAGCGAAAGCTGTTAATGCGACCATGCAAAATCTGCTCAAGCAACAGTTGTTTGTTAGACTGTTAGTAAAGGCTAATGGAAAAGTTATTGAGACAATCGGCTCCAAAATAGGTCACTTAGCATCACCAGCTGTTCCCAGTTCCACGGATGCGAATGTACCATCTCAAATGTAGTATAATTTACTGGAAAATTTACTAAATGATATGTATATAGAGGTGCTAATAAAACAGAATCTATTGAAATTCAAGTCGTTTAACATGAAATTTTTAACTTGGGGATTTAATTTGCATTTTTCCGAGAGAGTCTAAAAAGGCACTAAGCTTTTTACACATTTGGACTTCACTGTCAGACATCTTTATTATGGAAAAATTCTTTAACACGGCCTGCAGTTTTACAAGTTGGTCACTGGATAAAACCAGTTGTAAATGAAACTACTGAATTAAATTAACAGAGGCAAAGCTATTAGAAACTCTTATTTTTTTGAGGACACTTTGCTTTCGGGTTATCATAGTAAATTAATGGCAACATCCCTATGATGCATCCAATGACTAGGCCAGTGGCTCTTCCGATATTCACGATTCTTCTAGCAGCTGGGGATTCGCGCTGGAAATTAGTTAGAGTCCAGCTGTTAAAAGTTCGAGGCAAAAAACCTCTTCAAAAGCATAAGGGGAAGTAACAGCAATCCAAACCATAATGATTTACAGCCTTTCTCCAGAAAAGATAGGAAAATTAACCTGAGCCGGAGTAAGAAATGGCTGTTTTATCCCCGTTTTAACCGCTAAACATTCAATATAATGGGCAAGACCCATTCCAGCTAGATCCGCAAAAATATGTCCCAAACCCGCAGCAGCCATTGTTGATATTGCCAGTAGAGCTCCTAATGTCTAAAACAAGTGACTTCAAAAACCTGACTAGACTAATATCAGCTTCTGCATGTACTAATATCAGTTGACAAGAAGCTGCAACAAGCCAATACCTGATCTAAATATTCGCCAGCAACAATCATGAGAGCATTGTCAAGAAATCCAAAACCAATGAGTGGGACGGCATTTGCGTAAAATAGCTGTTTCATTTGCTCCCGTGGTATCGCCTCTGAAGTTTCAATCGAAGAGCTTAAGCTAAAGGAAATACATGCAAAATATGATTTCCTCTCAAGTTAAAAATCAGTTGAGTCTTTGACCTACTCTAAAGAGACAGCTCAAATAATGGGAGGTTTGAAAAAGTAGTGGCATTTTATATTACCACATGGATTATGAAGAATCGCCTTTTTTAAAATATCCCGTCCTTCAGGACCTAATTCCTTAACAATATTCCTGGCAGATGCTTCATCTTCAACACAAAGAGCACGATTTTTGTAATTGGAACAACGTCGGCCTTCCTCAATACAGTTAAGTTATGACAGCCAAACACCGAAGTCTTCTAGTGTTAATACAGGGTGGAAAAGACAGTGGGAAAAAAAATAATATAAATGACTCACTATGCCATAGCGACATCCGGGATGAGTATCCGTTTAGGAAGATAAGTGTTGAGGTGAACTGTAGAAAATGGAAGCCACATTTACTACACTTTGTTTTAATATTACAGACAAATGCCATACAGTAAGAGTGACTTTGTTTAAAATTTTCTGGCAGTATAATTAAATTTGTTCGTTGAAAGTTATATAGGTTACATGTGGCTTTGCAGTGAGGAACGCTAGTAACTGAAAAAGTGGTAAGAGAAGCCTGGAAGTCGTCATACAATTTCGGTGAAGCGTCTTAATTAGCTTACATACTTCATAAATATAAATGTTACAAACAGATAACTTAGTGACATAAATAATAGCAATACACAGACACACAAACAATTACTGTATGTATCTGAATAACTTAATTAAGCGGTACCGATTTGATACTCTGTCCTCTAAAAAACAGTAATCTTAGAGCGAAAGAAGGAATGTAAGACTATGAAAGACAACTGAAACAAAGGAGCCCTTCTATCCTTGAAAGCAAAACGGTTCTTAAAAATATAAAAATAGCTCTGAAAAAGTCGAAGCTCATTCATCGGAAGTTTCAAAAAGCTTACGCTCTAAACGTTCCTAAGAAAACAGAGAAAAAAAACATTGTCAGATATCTTTTTCCGAGACTATCTAAAGAGGATAGCTGTCCAGAATATCCAGTCAGAGATTTGTGCTAATCCTTCACAAAATTTTTTCATACGAATATGTGAAAGAAAATGCTCAAAAACCCGTTTTTTATATCAGATCAAGATCATATCCGTTAAGGCAAAGATTTTAAGCAAAATTTATTATACTATCGTAAAAATACTGCTTGACTCACACCTTTTGGCCACATTTTTGCAAACTGACGCTAACAGAAGGTGCTAAAAGCTATCAGCCTTATACCCTTGAACAAAACTCAGACTGACCTTTGAGCGAGTATTTTAACAGAAAGCAAAACAGTCAAACCTTGCCAAATTTCTTAACTAACTCATGCGTCTGTAATAAGAAAAATTTTTTTTTTTTGCTCAACAGAAAGCGCATTTAGCCGAGCCTTAATTTAGTAATTGAGGAATCTCCAACAACCTAAAGTTAATACAATAATAAAAGCAGTTTATTCATTTAGAAGCGTCAGTTAATAAGCAAATGCATTCGTAAGCTTCCTTGTTGCTCTATTCCCACAATCGTTTTTCAGCACCCCTAGTAGCTATCGTCCACTCCAGATAACCCCGTTATAAAAACCGAAACTCTAAATACAATCGTCGAGATTATAAAGTCTTAGTAAGGACACTGCTGCAGTCGTCGTTCCTACGTCCCCACTTTTACCACCGATACAGACAATAAGATCCAATGTATACCATTCCATAGGTGGGATGGCGGCAAAACATTGTTCCGCATTACGGCGGAAATGTTCAGTTCGTAAACCTGGCAAAATTTCCATAATGGTAAAAAGACTTTCTGGAAAAGTTCGTTTCGTGCATGAACGTTACTATACCGAGGTTTGCTCTCAGGATCTAGGCCTACCAATTGAGTCTGAAGCTAGGCTTAATCTTAACGTCAGGCTGAGAAATTAGGCACGGGTTTAGGGGCTAGCCGAGCTGAGGCCTGAATGAAGTACTTTAAATACTTCATTTTTCTTTCTTTCTGGTTTCGCATTGAAGTACGTCTGTGTCGAATAATAATCTTAAGGATAATCTATAGGCGCCGTCATTTCTAATTTCCACTGGGCGGGA